TTTTGTTTAGTTTTAAATAGCTACCTCAGATTCTTTTTTTTATCAAAGTACTTACTATTTTTACCTTTTTCTAATCGTTATGCAGAGTAATAATACAACAAAATAAAAAATTAATAATATTATTCTTAATAAACGTTTAAAAAAATAAATTTTAAGTCTCTCCCTTTGCATAACAAAAAAAAACTTAATTCTTGAATAATGTTTGTTAAACTACACGCATGTAGATTTTTAAAAGACAAATAGAACATACTTGTTTCTGTACTTAAAACTAAATTGTTATTGTTTTTGTACTAAAAATTAAATCAAATTGTTATTTTTCTGTACTTAAAATTACAATAAATTGTTTTTTTTTCATGTAATGTTATTAAATAAAGAATCTATAATCATCTAATAATTTGTTAAAAAGAAATACTCAATTTGAAAAAAGTATTGAATGCTTTTTAGAAAATATTTAATTTATTTGTTATTTTTAACCAGTGGCAAATTGTTATGCAAAAAGGCCAAAATCTCAGCCTTTTCTGGTTGAAATCGATTTCTTTTTGTTTTGTAGATATTAGATATTCCCTGCCTCAGAATCTTCTATCTGGAAGAATATTTGTTCCACCATTTGAATTTATCATCGGATAGGGATCGGCTGGGCCGATTAATCTGCCATTTCTTAACCGATTAATCGGCTAATCGGCCAATCGGCCAAAGTACTAATCGGCCCAACTCTAGTTTTTACTTTTACGTTGATATGCTGTGGTAGCCCGACTGGCGGACTGCCATTAAATGCAAAATGGTGTTGTGCTACCAACTGCCCAGCACTACTTTAGTGTAGCTCCTGTAGGAACTGTTTGCTGGTGGAAAAACACTCCGCAAATACGTTATGTTTTGACATTATAATTTGCAACCTTAAATAAGATAATGAAAAAAGGGCTTATAATTAATACCGATTTATTTACTTGTGTAAATAAATCAGTATTAATTATAAGCCCTTTTTCCAAACAAACCAAACGTCAAACAAATTTGGCAGTTTGGCAGGCCAAGTGTGAATCTCATAAATACTTGCAACTCCCCTGGTGTTGCAGTTGTTCATGGGCGGCGGTAATCACTTACCATCAGGTGAACCGTAGGCTCGTATGCCCCCTCTCCTACGTAAAAAAAACGGTGGTTCGTGGGAAAGAAAGTATTGAGACATTTTTTGTGGATAATTTTATGATCTACAATTTTTGTGTGGGCTATTTTTATGATAAAACTTATCGTTTTGCTGAAAATCGCGAAAAACTATTTTTTTGACCTTTGACCTTGAGTAAAAAAAATTCCATACACAGGAATGGTGGGGAACTTCAAAATTTTATTTATAATTATATTTTGAACAACTTTACCGTTTATCTATCAGCTTGTTGTAACTTTATGTATCACCGAATGTCTAGATTGACCGGACTAGTAGTAATATACAGTAGAATTAGAATATATCGTATAATGTAGACCTAGATACAATGATATTATATAATTACCTAGATAGCCACGTTTGTAGTGTATTGTCTATCTTACTTAACAATGGAATACGAGTAAGTTTACGTAAATGTAAACTTTAATTCCATAATATTGATCCATTCAACCATATTTACAAGCAATCATTTGCATTTAATATACATAATCATAATGTCAATGGAGTAGTAGAGTTGGTCTGGGTACTTTATGTATTATGTTTTGTTTTTATTAATATTTTTTATCATCAACCCGTAACTATTTCCATTGCTGGACATACATCTCTCCCGTTGTACTGAGGAATGGACATTATCGCCACGCTTGGCAGGTAAGGGGTGCGCCTTTGAAGCTGCTCTCCGTCTCCGGTCTGAATATTTTCTCTTTTGAACACTAGTTGGTTATACGTCATAAAGTCCTTACGACATTTCGTTGCCTCCCCACGGAAGCTGTACAGTGCAAATGGCCTATCAAGATTGTAATATAATGTAATTAAGTACTCATATGCTCTTGCTGTTCCATATAAAGAAAATAAAAAATATCCTATAATATATTCCTTGCAGTGTTACATAAAAGTAGTTTAAAGAGAGGTGCCTGTTAATATTTAGATGACAACGTTCGATAGTTGGTCTATTTTTTTTTATAACGATTAGGTGTCGGACTAACTCGTTTGCATCACGAACTACATACATACTACAACTTTCGATTGTGACAATTCTGTCAAATTAATGGAACGCATCTATACGAAAGTAACGTAACGTACTAACGACTGGTTTACACTAAACCAGTACGACCTGAAATTCAACATGCCGTGTTGGTTGGGATTGGTCAACCTAGTATGCAACCGTCATAGATTCGGTTTCATACGAATTTGGTTTTTTTGTGTCTGGGTTAAAAAAAAAAACCTTTTTTATAGAGGGTGGGTGGCTCTCCGTTGGCAAATAACCTTTTTATGGAGACGAAAATTTTTGGGGGGGTTTGGCTCCTTTCCTTCCGGGGGTTTTCTGGGGTTGTCTTAGAATTTTTTAATTATGTTATTGGCTTTTGTACAATTGATTTTGTTATTTTTTTACACGTTTCAGAGTCAGGGTCCTTCGATCAATCCAATCGCAATCCTTTATTTGATTCCATCGCATAAGCATTCAATAGATGACAGTTATATTATGGTTCCAGCACGAATGAGATCACATTCTAACAGAATACCAGCGTGAAAAAACAGCTTAATTCTGCTATGTTTTGTATGGTGAGTGTAGAGGACCGGAGACTCTTTACTGAAGATGAGGCATTTCATCTTAGTCCTCAGGGGTGTCAACGCATCTATTTTGATTCTTAACTGAGGATAAATGTAGATGTGTATGGGCCCTAGTATCCACTTAGGCACTATCAGGTGGACTGTGTGTTCGTTTGCCACCATTATTCTATAAATAAAAAACTGACGTATCGGTCATGTTATGGTGGTATAAGGGAATTTATTATCCCATTTCGTCCCGTGGGTGCTATATTTCAGATTTGTCATCTGACATTATATCTCAGAGAGCAGTGCCAGATATGCAATACGTTATACGTCTGATGCTGCGATCGTCACTCCGCATGTCCAACGTGATGATTAAGGTAAATCCCGTCTACAACGGGAGAAGAAGCCCATGTCCAGCCGTAGACTTTTGGCGGATTGATGAAGAAGAAGAACGAGAATTACGGTTCGATAGCGCTGTGGCCATAGAATAAATAATAGAGTTGTGGCTAAGAATTTGGCGCATTTCTGCAGATTTTAACGTCTTACAGTAAAAAGTACCTAAAGTTCTTCTGGGTCTAAATATTTTTGCGTGTGCAATTTTTGTGTGGTAAAATCCTTATCAATTTCTTAAAAAATATTGTCTTTTCGTCTAAACATAAAAGTATTTTCTGAAAGTAACTCTTTTGGTCTAGTTGTTTGGGTAGTTTAATCTTATTTGTTTTTCCACTTTGTTATTGACAAAACCGCAGATTGTTTTCAATCGAATCATATTTACTTCAGTGCCAGTAACTCCATTCATTAAGAAAATGATATAAATTTACCAGATTGAATTTCAATTACTGAGCTCCCATGTGGGTTCGACGCGTCGACATTGATTTTCTGAACCATCGAATCGGATAACTGAGCGCTTGTAAAGCGTTTACGGGATAACGGGTGATAAATTAATCATTTGCTCTGGTTCATTCTTGATAAGATTTTATTATGAATTATCTGTTTTTTCTATTGTTTACGTAATTAATTTGAGAAAACTTCATAAATACTGAAAAATATTAATTGCCACTTAAGGTCTAAGATGGAGATATTCATATTCAGTTTTATTTACAATACGAAACAATTGCGTTATAAAATGTCCTCTTTATATTTCTCTCTCAACTAATTCTAAAATACTAATTTCTTTCTTTTATTGTTTAAAATTTATTATTCTGGTTCTTCCCCTTCCAAAACGCCCCTTCTATTGTAATTGCTAAGATCCAGCTGGCGGAAATGACTAAATTATTACTGAATATCTAAAGTTATATTTAAATAATGTCATAAGTTACTAAAATAAAATTTGATATGACTTTAAGTTAGATTTAAGTTATTATACAGTTAATATTTTTTTTTATAGGATAAGGATGACAAACGAGCACACAGTCCACCTGATGGTAAGTGGATGCTGTGGCCCATAGCCATCTACATTTAACCTCGCTTAAGAATCAAAATGCAGATGCGTTGTCACCCTTGAGGACTAAGATGGAATTCCTCGATTCCAGTAAAATGGGTCTCCGTTTCTCTACACCCACCATACGAAACACAGCAGCATTAAGCTGCTATTTTACGCTGGTATTCTACGAGAGCGTGGCCTTTCTCCGGTCGAGGCGACCTATTCATGCTACAACCGTAATAGCTGCAGTGTGGCCCTACCATGTGTATTTTAATTTTTATAACAAGATATTAAATGGTTTTTGTTTTCTTTTGTGGTGTAAATTACAGTACAATCAATCTGCATGGATAAGTACCTACTTATTCAAGTCAACTATCTGCTGCCAATACCTCGAACTATAAGGTGCATCCTTGATACTGTAAAATTCGACCATACTCAGTTGCGAAATTATTAATTGGTGGTCCTACTTTTGTACGTTAATCGTGAAGATTGGCGCGTGTGATATTATAGGCAATAATATAGAAGTGGTATTTGAATATTAAATATTGACACTTGTGTCTAGCATAGTGATAATATTTAATATAAAATTACGCAACTGTGAATTTACATTATTGTTAGTTTTTAAACATTTTTGTATTTGGTTTTTGAAAAGTAATTCTTGATACTAACATCATGTTACAACAGTCATGTTAGCTTAGAGTCCTAATAATTTTTTTTTAATTTTTGGATACTATTATTTTAAGTATAAACAGTTAACAGCTTCCATAATCGTCAATATAATATAGCGTCTTTATTATTATAAAGATACCATAATTATTGCAATATATTTTTAGTATCGTTAGTAACGACTAATGACACATATTTTCGTTTCAGGGTTAAATGCTTGCGAGAGGAAGTCATACCTGTTCTTGAGGAAGGAATTGCCAGTCAGGTTAATATTTATTTGTTTTCTCAGTTTTTATGAGCTGGCAGTTGGCCAGGCGTAGCAAGACCTTTGTGGGTCAACGTTCAATGTCATGTCAAAAGCTACGATACCTACTTGTGTTATTTTAAACGTTTTATTTTTATTTCCTAAAGAATGTATACGTTCCGAAATTTACTGAGCCCACGAATTAATTCTCGTAAAAATTAATGTTCACTTATTAAATGACGACAGAAGATTTTAACAAAAATTTTAATATCAATTCTGTCAAATCTGATCAGTTCAAGTTTTTGTCCAATAAGAAACCAAAAACCAATAGCCGTGTAGTGGCGGTGTAAGAATATCCACTAATCCATATCGCCTCTTGGGTATCGTAAGAGGCGACAGAGGGAATCTGAGACAGGAAGTGAGCAGCAGCATCTTCCTAATAACAACTCAAAAAAGGTATCGTAAGAGGCGACAGAGCGAAACTGAGACAGGAAGTGAGCAGCAGCATCTTCCTAATAACAACTCAAAATAGGTATCGTAAGAGGCGACAGAGCGAAACTGAGACAGGAAGTGAGCAGCAGCATCTTCCTAATAACAACTCAAAATAGGTATCGTAAGAGGCGACAGAGCGAAACTGAGACAGGAAGTGAGCAGCAGCATCTTCCTAATAACAACTCAAAATAGGTACCGTAAGAGGCGACAGAGCGAAACTGAGACAGGAAGTGAGCAGCAGCATCTTCCTAATAACAACTCAAAATAGGTATCGTAAGAGGCGACAGAGCGAAACTGAGACAGGAAGTGAGCAGCAGCATCTTCCTAATAACAACTCAAAATAGGTATCGTAAGAGGCGACAGAGCGAAACTGAGACAGGAAGTGAGCAGCAGCATCTTCCTAATAACAACTCAAAACAGGTATCGTAAGAGGCGACAGAGCGAAACTGAGACAGGAAGTGAGCAGCAGCATCTTCCTAATAACAACTCAAAACAGGTATCGTAAGAGGCGACAGAGCGAAACTGAGACAGGAAGTGAGCAGCAGCATCTTCCTAATAACAACTCAAAACAGGTATCGTAAGAGGCGACAGAGCGAAACTGAGACAGGAAGTGAGCAGCAGCATCTTCCTAATAACAACTCAAAAAAGGTATCGTAAGAGGCGACAGAGCGAAACTGAGACAGGAAGTGAGCAGCAGCATCTTCCTAATAACAACTCAAAACAGGTATCGTAAGAGGCGACAGAGCGAAACTGAGACAGGAAGTGAGCAGCAGCATCTTCCTAATAACAACTCAAAATAGGTATCGTAAGAGGCGACAGAGCGAAACTGAGACAGGAAGTGAGCAGCAGCATCTTCCTAATAACAACTCAAAATAGGTATCGTAAGAGGCGACAGAGCGAAACTGAGACAGGAAGTGAGCAGCAGCATCTTCCTAATAACAACTCAAAATAGGTATCGTAAGAGACGACAGAGCGAAACTGAGACAGGAAGTGAGCAGCAGCATCTTCCTAATAACAACTCAAAATAGGTATCGTAAGAGGCGACAGAGCGAAACTGAGACAGGAAGTGAGCAGCAGCATCTTCCTAATAACAACTCAAAATAGGTATCGTAAGAGGCGACAGAGCGAAACTGAGACAGGAAGTGAGCAGCAGCATCTTCCTAATAACAACTCAAAATAGGTATCGTAAGAGGCGACAGAGCGAAACTGAGACAGGAAGTGAGCAGCAGCATCTTCCTAATAACAACTCAAAACAGGTATCGTAAGAGGCGACAGAGCGAAACTGAGACAGGAAGTGAGCAGCAGCATCTTCCTAATAACAACTCAAAACAGGTATCGTAAGAGACGACAGAGCGAAACTGAGACAGGAAGTGAGCAGCAGCATCTTCCTAATAACAACTCAAAACAGGTGTCGTAAGAGGCGACAGAGCGAAACTGAGACAGGAAGTGAGCAGCAGCATCTTCCTAATAACAACTCAAAATAGGTATCGTAAGAGGCGACAGAGCGAAACTGAGACAGGAAGTGAGCAGCAGCATCTTCCTAATAACAACTCAAAATAGGTACCGTAAGAGGCGACAGAGCGAAACTGAGACAGGAAGTGAGCAGCAGCATCTTCCTAATAACAACTCAAAATAGGTATCGTAAGAGGCGACAGAGCGAAACTGAGACAGGAAGTGAGCAGCAGCATCTTCCTAATAACAACTCAAAATAGGTATCGTAAGAGGCGACAGAGCGAAACTGAGACAGGAAGTGAGCAGCAGCATCTTCCTAATAACAACTCAAAATAATATAAAACTGCAGACCCACATGCCAAGCGTGGCAATTATGGCAATTTATGGGGGAGACCTATGTCCAGCTGTGGACTTTTATATGCTGTAATGGATGGGAGCAAACACTTATTTTTGTTTATTTATTTGAACATTAGTTGTACATAGAAACGACAAGGCGTTCTATCCCAGTCTACCTGTGCAAATTGGGGAACTACCAACCGTCTGTTGTACTTCCACATTTGTGAATAAATAGTACTAGTTGTAAGTATTGATATTTGATTAATAATATAAACAGCTCAAAACAAAATGGATCCCATCATCAGTAATTTTTATTTTTGTCTTGGAATAACTCAAGAGGTAATTAATGGTTACCAAAATAATGTATTTGATTGTGTAGTTGACTTGATTATTAGTCATTATCAAAATATTGAGCGACAACTTGAGCTTGTATTGTGCATCCATGGAGTAGATAGTTTTGGGGTCCAAGACTTATGGTGTGAGGTGGAATAAGCTTAATAGGCAAAACAGCTGGTAATTCTGGATGAGGGTTCTGTAACAGCTACCAGTTACGTTGAGCAATCAATCCGACTTCATGTTATTACATTTTCACAAAGAGTAGGTGCTGATTTTTTGTTATTGCAAGATAATGCTCGTCCACATACAGCCCGTATCACACAAAGAGCCTTTTCTGATGCCAATATATCACAGTTTTGCCATGGCTTGCCATGAGTCCCGACCTCAATCTCATTGAACATTTATGGGATCAACTGAAAAGAAGCTTAAAAGAGAACAACAGTCAGTTGAATAGACTTAAGGAACTCATAAACGCGCTAAAAGTCAGTTGGGAACGTATAGGTACCTGAAGAAAATGTTACTCATGTCATCGAAAGTTTATCAGATAGTTTCAGAGAGTGCATACAGAGTAGAGGTTTACCACTTTACGTGGTAGAGCCACGCTGCAGGTATATTAGTAGTATAGTTGTAGCACGAATTGGTCGGCTCGACCGGGGAAGGACCACGCTCTCAAGAATACCAGCGTCAAACAGTAGCTTAATGCCGCTGTGTTTCGTATGGTGAGTGTAGAGAACCGGTGACCCTTTTTACTGGAAACGAGGCATTCCATTTTAAGTCCTCACGGGTGACAACGCATCTGCATTTTGATTCGTAATCGAGGATAGATGTAGATGTCTATGGGCCACAGCAACCACTTACCATCAGGTGGACTGTGTGCTCCTTTGTCATCCTATCCTATAAAAAAGGCGGTCTCACTCGCTACTAGGCATAAAATTGATCAAACCACAATCATAAAAAATAGTGATGGGTTAAGTTTTTGTTTTTCGTACTGCAAATTCCCTAAAAAGTGTGTTGACAAGCTTCGCTGATACTTTAACTGTTAACCGAGCATTTATAGCTCTTTACATCCGTTAAGAAAATTGACGCATTTACGATATTGTCTAAGTATAGTATTTGATTTTAACTGTTACGTCTTTAACAGCTGCAAATAATGAACGCATAACGTAATTCATTTAACTTTTTTGTTACCGGCTATAATACTGATTTAGAGTTCTTTGTTTTTCCACCTGGTGCTGGGGTCAATAAAAGCTGATACACGTTCTTTGTAACCTTGCCAAAACATATATAGGCTTTTTAATAGAAGTGGAGGCATATGACCATGTGGCACACCTGATAGTTATAGGTAGCATACGTATAGGATCTATAAAAACACATCCGGTCTTATTTCAAAATTCTGTTTATCACACACTTAAAAAAAACACTCTTCTTTAAAGTTTCGTATTTAAAGAAGACTCTTTGTCAGAAAAGAACCCATTGCCACAGTCTTATTTGCTGTATTCCATTCGTTGATTTTATTTTACATCTTCTGCAGGACGTCTTTATTGAAATATAATGTAGTGAAAAACTGAGATAGATAACTGTACCAGTTGAATGAACTGAACTGAATTATCTCATTTGCGATCCACGCTGTGACACATTAATTCGGCTATTATTTTCCACTTTACTATATGAAATCGGCTAACTACACTAAGCCGCGTAACTAAAGGGTTACTAGTTTGAATATCTTCATACCCGATTTTACCAGGAGGTAAATACGTACACCTAAATATTTAAATAATACAAGTTTTAAAAATTTTGATTTTTGTTTCGATCTGCACAGTTGAACTTACGGACCAAAATTTTTTTTTCAATATCTGTGGTAACCGCGGTCTATGACATCTGGACGTTGAACATCTCAGTCCCCCCGTGACCATGGGTGCTGTAAAGTGCTCGAAACGTCGGGTATATATAAAAGATAATATACGCGATAAAATCCGTAAAAACTAGTATTATTTAAATGTGTGGTGTTCGCGTAAATATAAGAAATCACTACGTACACCTAAGTACCTACATAAATAAATAAAGAGGTAGCCGTTAAATCTCCGGACATAATTTAAATAGTTTGTTCATAATTTTTGTTTATAATTAACCAGTACAATTTCAAGCTAAACATTATAAAAATCAATCAAATAGAAAAAACAAAATTTTTAGGTGTGTTCATAGACCAGAATCTGAACTGGAAAGCACATATCGATGAAGTTTGTAATAAAGTAAATAAATGTTCTTACGCGCTCAACCAAATAAAAAAAATGACTGACATAAAAACGTCTGTTATGACGGGCTACACACGAGACGATATCAGTGGCGATCTAGGGTGGAAAGAAATCGGGGCTTTTATCGGGGCAGACCCTACACACGGGCCTGCC